ATTTTATTAAAATAAACCATCCTAATCATTTTCCTAACTACTCCAATAAACACCCTAAACAACACCAAACATAATAAGGGTTTTTGTTTATCTTATCTTCTTAAGTATAAAATAATGATATATTTATTATTTTTTATTATAAATATATAAAAACTAATATTAATTTTAATATTATATAAATTTAATTATATAATTAATAAATTAAAAATTATATTTATTTTTTAAAATAATTTTATAATAAAAAATATATTTAATATATTTTTAACTTATGTTATAAAAAAAAAATAAAAAAAAGGAACTCATGCAATAATTTGTTCAACGATACTTGAACATTTTCTCGGGCAAAGTAATAACGATTGCCATCAACCCAACAGAAATACCCACCCATCCCGACGGCCACTCACGTGTCTCGCCGGCAACTCCCCTAGGGAATAGGGTGGAGGCAGCAGTCAAGTTATAGGGACAAGGGCCACGCACGCTGTATTGTCCGGACCCTGACACCGCACGTGTGGCTTTGGCATCTTTACCTTTTTACCTTGACACCTGGTAGGGCGTCAACGGCGGTACAATGTTAAAAGGAGACAATCCTGTGGCTCTATTGGCGGATTCTGGTTCTGGGAATAGACAATACAACGGAAGCTCACATGATGATGAGGAATGGTTGGTGGTGGAGAGGGCGTAAATGTGTAAGTTTTGGAACGGTAAAGGCAGAGGGAAATGTTATTTGGTTTTGTAGTTTGAGGGAATGTGTTGTTTCGAGAGGAACGAAGAGAAGGAAAGTGGAAGTAAAATTTCAATTAAAAGGGTGTTTGTAAAAGTTAAACAACCACTTATTTAAAAAAATATTTGTTTTAAAAGCAATGTTTTTTTTTTTTATAAATTTAAAATGTTATTGAAAGAAAATATTTAAAATTAATATTTAAATTTTTTTTAAATAAAAATTTAAATTTATCACTTATAAACAGTACTAACACTCCAATAAGTTAAACTAAACAGCCCCGAAGTACCTTGACTTTTGAATTCTCATGTAATATCTGCATTTTATTAATGAACAATTTCCATTTCTAATAAAAAATTATAAATAAAAATTATTTTTAAATTATTTTCCTTATTCTTATAAAATGCAAACTACACAAATAGAGAAACGAAACCTTATTTTTTAAGAAAGAGAAAGATACCTGTAGTCTTTAAGTCAACAGAACGAAATATAGGAACACTGAACCAAGACATTTCCCCGATAATGACTTTCACAGGATGACATTTGAATATCTCAGTAATTTAATTATAATTGGTTTTGTTAATTACTTGGATACTAATATCGAGTTTTCTTATTTAACATATTATATAACAAAATTATTAAAAAATTATTATTTTTAAATTAAAATTAAAATTAAAATATTCTAACACTTTAAATCACAATCTCTTATAAAATTATTTAAATAATTTTAATAAATTTTTTTGATGTTTATTCGTTGAAAGTAATTTAATAATTTTAATGTTAAAGTTGTATTTCTAATATGTAATTCAGACTAAAATATATGAAATTCTTTCCACTTTATAAAAACTTTGGCATTAATAATTTGTGTAACTTTAAAGATTGAATTTATTTATAAATAAGTATAATTTATAAATTAAATTTAAAATTTAAATTGTCTTTAAAATTAATTAAAAATAAATTAATCTTAATATATATAA